GCAAATCCTGCCTGACTGGTGAGCCCCTCATTCAGAATTCACCTGTGTCATTTTCTGCCAAGAATAGAATTTGTCTATTATATTTGATGGGTTATCACAAAATGATACTGGAGGAAGAAATGAGTCAAAATTAGTAGAGTTACTTAGCATTTTGGTCCTAAAAGTTTAATCTAGGGGCCTCCCCTGGTGGCGCAGTGGTTGAGCGCTGGGCTGCGAGGCTGCTCACAGTCTCTGCAGCGCCGGTTCGTTCCTCAGCCAACGGCGAGGGTCCCACAAAAAAAAAAAAATGTTTAATCTATGTACTATATGTACTATAAATGTACTGTAAATAAAGAGTTAATATATAAAATGATTAGGTGAAAATACAGTTGAATAGTTCTATCGGGTAGGCCTCCTAAGCATTAAACCAAAGATATAAAACATAAAGGCAAAGATTGATGAATTTGAGCAGATTAAAAATGTTCTGGAAGACAAAGTTTAACATTAGAGATTTTTAAAAGAGAAAGATCAAACTAGAAAAACATTTTCTATATAACAGCATTAGTATAATTATCTAACTAAAGAACTTTTACAAATCAATAAGAAAATATAGAGCCCCGTAAGAGAAAAATGATTTGAGGATGTGAAAAAAAAGCAATTAGCTAAAGAAGAGATACTAATAACCATGGAACATGTGGGGAAATGTTTAATGTGATAAAAATGCAAATTAAAATAGCATTAAGATGCTACTTCTCATCTATCATCTGGCAAGATTATTAAAAGAGCTAATACTCAGTGTAGGTCAGGATGTAGAGAAAATGGGACAGTTAGTGCAGGATGGATTAATGTGCGAAAGTTTCCATTTTGTTTCTAGAAGAAAATTTGGTAACATGTATAAAAAACTTGAAACCATGACACACTTTGATGCAGAATTCTATTTCTTTGAATTGATCTTAAGGAAATGGATATATGTGCAAAATTTTGGCCACCAACATGTTAATTACAGAGGTAATTAGAATAATAGAATATAGGAAAAGTAGATTGATCTGACAGTGTGATCCCAAATTTGAAAAATATTATGACCTCATATTTTCTTGCTTAGTAAGAAAATACATGATTTTAATTTTTTAATTTAGCTAAATTATTTACCTTTCAACAAATACTATTAAATATATATGCATGTGTAAATAAACATATAGACTTAGATTTTATTCACTAACACTGTTACTGGTAAATTAATTTTATTAGTAATTTGATGCGTATACTCCCAAGTGATATTAGGTTGCTGTTCATATTTGTGCTGTATTCATCAGGTTAGGTAACAGGGTTAGGCCAATTTTATTGAATAAATTGGTTTTCTTTAATTTTATTTCTGTGCTCTGGCACACTTTAAATAGCAGTGGAATTTTCTGTTCCTTGAAGTTTTGAAAGAGCTCCCCATAAAACCATCTGGGCCTGACTACTTTTTGGAGTGATGTTCTGTGACAACTTTTCCAGTTTCTTCAGTGTTTTAGGTCTATGCAAGTTTGCTACCTAATTTTGAGACACCTGAAGCAATTTATATTTTCCTAATAGGGCAAAAAGGGCCTATTTTAAAATAAGTAAACATAAAATTGCAAAAGTATAGTCATAATTTTTTATTTATTTTTTGCATCTGTGATTAAATCCTTGTTCTCATTCCTAAAAACAGATGTCTCAACGTTTCTTCTTTTTCCCTTTCTTTAGATGGATACATTTTATGTATGTTTTTTTTTTTTTTTTTTTTTTTATAGAGGCATGCTTTATTTATTTGTTTGCTGGTTTGTTTGTTTTGTTTATACATGCACTGGGTACAGTCAGAAGCGCGGGAGGGTGAGAGAATTCACCAGAGCCAGAGCGGGGAGCAGAGCAGGCAGAAGGACCGAAGTACACTGCTGAGGGGAGCAGCGGGCGGCAGGAGAAGTCTGCACGCCATGTGGGACCCTCCTCCGGTGGCCGGGTTGCAGCCGGGGATCGAACCGGCGCCGCAGAGGCCGCGGGCAGCATCGCAACCCAGCGCTCAACCGCTGCGCCACCGGGGAGGCCCCATTTTATGTATGTTTTAAAATAAGCAGTTCTGGGTCTCTCTGGTGCCACAAGGGATTAAGTCTCAGCACTATGAAGCTGAGACTTTATTGGCAACCAATGCAGCATAATTTGATTCCCAGCCAGGGAGCTAACCTACATGGTGCAGCAGACCTCTCCTATCTCCCCCGCTGCTCTTCTCAGCAATGTATTTCAGTAGATCTGCCTGTTCTACTCTCTATTCAGTCTCTGGTGAATCCTCTCACCCCCTGCACCTCTGACTTACACCTCAGCTCTTGTATGCATAAATAAATAAAATAAATCTTAAAATATCCTAATGAATTCATTAATCGCTCCTTCAGTTTCTGCTATGACCCTTTTCAGGCCTGCCCCACAAATGTTGGTTCTGCAGTCCAAGGTGAGACACTAGTAGTCACCTGAGGGAAGTTCTTCTTTTGGTGGTGGCAGAGGTACAAGAGGACCAGAGGAAAGTGAGCAATGCTGCTTAATGCATTCCTCGAGGAGACAAGCGCCATCACCACCCACGAGCCATAGGCCAAAGCAGTCACATAGTTAAGTCCAAGGTTATTAGGTAGGGAAATATGCTCTGCCCACGATGAGACTGTAGCTGAGGTATAGATCTGAGAAGTGTTAAAAAATTGGTTGACAATGCAATCTACTATGTCCAAAAGTGGGAACATGTAGCCTCTTGTATAAAAAATACCTCAGACTAACAGATGTACTTAAGTGTTATAAGTTTGATATCTGTAGGTATAAAGAAAATTGGAATCTGAATAGGATAAGTAATATCTTTCATTTACAGTATAGTGCTGAGTCTTATTTTCGACATATTAAATGCTGGAATACATATTTAAACCATGCTGTGCCCTGGCTTTTTATAAAGATTTCAAAGTGAAAAGAACTTCAGTTTGTTTAAAAATTATATTGACATCATAGACATTACATTGTTTGGTTAGAAGCAAATAATGCCATCACTTATAAATTGAGTAGAGCAGCTGACCTAATAAACAGAGGCTAAGTTCACAGTTAATTAAAGATTTCATGATCATTCAGCCAAGACATGCCTCAAACCATTTTTTGTTCAGCTGGCCAGCAAGATACTTAGAACCATATTTAGGACATCTTGCAACTATAATCAACATATGCAAAATATCCCATTTCAAAAAATGTATCCCATTTATACGTTTAGTAATTCATTGGAGGAATGGTATTTTTCTATATGATTGCTAACTTTACTCATACTTGTAGTAAGTGAATAAAACAACGTATTTGTAAGGACAGGAACAGACACTAAGCAGGTTTTCTGATCCAGCAGACCGAGTAAAGAGGAGTCCTGGAACCCTCAGTGGTTTTTGCAGGCTTTTATTGGGATTTACTGGGTACATGGCAGGTAGGGGTGCTGGGGGGCCAGGAGGCTGGCAGGCCTCCCAGCCCCCAGCAAGTCTTCACTTTTTCTGGGCTCTCCGGCCTTCATTCTGCTTCTCTGCTCTCTGCTTCTCTGCTTCTCTGTCGGCTTCTGCTGGCGTCCCCGCAACGCCACCCCTAAAAGCCCAGTCTCAGCCCAGGTGAATCCCATCTACATGGGTCCACACCCTACTCCAGGTGCCCGCCATCAGGCATGCATTCGGGACCACATGGTTCCGTCATCCATCCTAATGGTGGGAGGGCAGAAAAGCCTAATACTTTTTACCTTACCCTAAAGTATTACATAGAAATTTGTTATTTCTATGTTATTTGAATATTAGAGATTTAACAAATAGATCTCTGTCTCTGCTATCTTTGCGGCAGTATTGTTTCTGTATTAAAGATGAAGCAATTGAGGCTTAGAGAGTTTACAAAATTTTCCTAAGTTTATATAATTGGGACTTTCAATTCTAATAGATGAACACATATCTGTTTGATCTAAAGGCCCTGACACCCAACAATATTGCTCTTACTTGATAGATAATAATTATCTCATTGCAATCACCTATCTTTTTTACCTCTCTTTTCCTGAGAGCCTGAAGAAAGTCATAACACCTGTTCAAGTACCAACTGAAGTTGATGTGATACCAGTGTGTAGTGCTCCAGGCCTGCCACAGCTTATGCCCGTTGGTCTTCCAAGCTGGATGGGGAATTGGAATAGCTATGCAAACTGAATCTTAGCCATAGGAGAAAGTTATCCAGGTCAAATTGGGCCTATAGACAATGTCACTACCATTATATCCCTCCTCTACACTGATTTCTGATTACTACTGGGTTTGGTGAAAATTAAGGATCAAACTTCTGGGATGCTTGCCATGCCAGGTTCAAAACTCTTCCATCAAACGCTTGTGTTCCAAGTGTAAGCCTGCACCTCAACAATAAGCTTTATGAGCCAGTACCAGCTAGCATAAATTTTTCTTCTGTGTCTTCAGAACAGCAATGCCTAACATTCCCTTCAATACAATGAGACAGATGCTCTTTCTATATTTGCAGTTGTAGTCTTGGTTCCCCTTGGCCACTTTTAAAACAGGAAAACGGTTTCCTTCCCAGCCTGCTAAAACGCAAGAGGCCCCTGGAGACACTGCCCTCTCTCACCTCTGCACTCCACGGTGCTTGCAAACTTTGGACAGAAGAAAGGTGGGCACGGGGGCGCGGAAAAACTACAAATCCCAGAATGCACGGCGCCCTCCGCACAGGCGCAGCGGGGACCACCCGGCCAGCGGGCCAGCAGCTTGCGGAGACTCACGGGTCCCCGCGCCGGGCTGGGGCTGGGGGCTGGCACCCCGGGCGGACCTGGTCGGCGCCGAGGGCAGCCCGGGGCGTTACGATGAAGGCGTTGCGGCGCGCGTGAGGAGGATGCAGCAGCAGCCGCCGCGGCAGGAGGTGGAGTAGGCGGCGGTGCCCTCGGGAGGGAGCCGCGCGCGGGCCAGACGGCTCCCGGAGGCTCCGCAGTGCCGCCGTCGCCCGGGAGGCTCCGCGCGGGAGCCATGTAACCCTGCGGCGGGCGCCGGGCTGCTCCGTCCTTCCTCGGCTCCCGGGCTAGCGCGGCAGCGGGGCACGATGAAGAAGCAGTTCAATCGCATGCGCCAGCTGGCCAACCAGACGGTGGGCAGGTAGGTCGCCCGCGGGCCGGTGCGCGCCTGCGAGGCAGCATCCGCTGGGGCGCGCAGGTGATGGAGCCCGCCCGGCCTCCCGTTCTCTTTTTGCCCCTCCCCGCCATCCCCTTCCCTGCACCGGCCTCCCGGGGCTCCGCTCGCAGGTGCGACCCCTCCTTTCTGAACTTCGCAGACCCCCAAGCCTTTCTCGCGCTCTGCCCGCTGCGCCCGGGCGCCGGTTGCCAAGCGCAAAGTGTGACGCATCCTTTACCTGCGTCCCCAGCTGCCCCTTCACCTCGTCCTCCCTGCCTTTCCCCAGGACTCCCTGCTCTCTGCGGCCGCCTGGCTTCCTGGAAACAGGTGTTTGCTCTGATGGTGCCGGAGGGAGCCAAACCGCAGTCGCTCTCCGGAGATCGGAGATGCCCTGCGTCGAGTTCGGGGCTCCGGCGGGGTCCAAGGAAAGTGTCGGGCCTGGTCGGCTTGGCAGAGCTGAGCCAGCCCCTCCTGCCGTGTTTGTTTTCTGGGCGTAGGACTGTAGGAGATTCTGGATCTCTTTCCTGGCCGGGTGTATTAAGGCGTGAGGTGGTGGAGAGAGGATCTAAAGGGGTGGGGTGGGGGGCAGGGAAGGTGCTGGTGGAATGGCGTTGGTTGGTCCTGAGACTGATTTTGGGGAAGGGAGGGAGGCTGCAGAAAGGGCGGCCCAACTCCTCCGAAAGATGAGATAAGCAGAGGATCACAGCCAGGTAGCGGAGGGGGACAGAGGCCCTACAATCTGGAAGAGCCAGGCCCCAGGAAGCTGCAAGACCCAGCCTGTCATCACAGTGAAAATGGGCTACTTCTGGGCTAATGCCTCCAGGAGTGGCTCTGCCGGGTGCCAACATCTATTAATGTTACATAAGGCTGCTGGTGGGTCTCTTCCAAAGCTAGACATGCTTTGAACACGAGATTGTTAGGTAGAGGGGATTTTTCATGGACTTCTGACCCCAGCGTGGAACCCTGTGTTGTTGCTGTGGCAAAGGAATTCAGGTGTGCAGTTTGACAGCAAGTAGAAAGCAAAGAACCCAGCTTTGGGTGCAATTCAAGTGCAAGCTCAACACATTGAGGGCTCTTCACTAGGTTTACCAAGAAACCAAATACCTTCCTTGGGTGGGAAGTGCAGCCTGAACTGGCACCTGGTAGTGTGGGGGTGGGGACATCCCTGGAGGAATAGGGGACATTAAACTCGGATGTGAGGATAGTGCCCTAATTAACAATGGACATTTGAGGGCAGGGGATGTGATGGCTTCTTAGGCTTCCAGGGACTCCAGATGGTTTCCAAGTAACAATGTCTAAAATTGACTTGGATTCATTTTTCTTTCCCAAACACATGTGCTTTAACAGAGGGAGAATTTATGAATAGCAGAGTCGGATTAGCCCAGATTTCTGGCGTGGTCTTGCCACAGATATAGCCTCACGTGGGCTGCCTTTTGATAGATTGGACATTAAATAATGTTTTCCTGGTATTGATTATTTAGCAGTTGACAGTCAAACTGACCTGTCTTAAGGTCTTGACTTCTGCATTGCTCTGCACCAGCCATCACATCGGACCAACCAAGCACTCAGGATGCCCCTGACTGTAAACTTGGATGGCTCATCTGATTGGTCTGGGGTTTCAGTTCAGTGCTTGAATCTCAATGTTAGGAAGGTTGCCCCTCTGAAACACAACCCTCCTGTCTCTTTTCAGTATTTGCTACAAAATAGTAAGATTTGGGCATCAAATCTTATTTTTCACTCTCATCCATATGGAGGGAATGACAACAGGACAGGGAAAGTTGGATTTTCAAATAAGTGGTCTTACTTTTTTTGAAAGTACTTAGAAATCCCAGCAACTGATCACCAAGAGGTACTTTCCACTTGTCTGTAGGGACTCCCGTGGCTCCTACTCTTTATCAGTTGTGATAAAGAGTACTCCTACTCTTTTTGCTGTTGTGTCATGTACCAGGGATAGTAAGGACCAGCTCATTTTTGTGTCACTGATGTGTCCATTTGATGACATTCAAAGTGAACCCTGTAAAGAGAAAAATCAGTTCATGGCATCTCATTGCACTTAAGTCCTGAATCTTTCCAATGGCCTTTAAGACCATACCTGACTTGGTCCCTCTATGTCTTTCATACTAATTCTGTTCTATCCTCTACCCATTTGGTGTGCTTCAGCCACAGTGGCCTCAAACATACCAAGCTCATTTCCCTCCCGGGGGCTTTTGTTCTGTTGTTTTCACATTTTCCTGCCCACTAAAGATGTGCTTTCCCCATTTGGAGTTATTGAGGTCTCAGCTCATAGGCCTTGGAGAGACACTGTCATTGGCTCTCTAAGTGATCATCCGTTCATTTTTGTCAAAGCAGTAATTACTCTTGAAATGCTTTTTGCAGTTTTTGTTTTCTTGTTTGTTTGCCCCCAATAAAACATACTGACCAACGTGTGCTCTGCACATACTGTGCAATGACTTGTAGACAGTTGCTGCTCAAGTCATGTCTTGACAAGATCAGAATGTTTATGCTAGGGTCCATGTGGGTAAATAAAAGGGACAGCATTTATTTTTAACTTACTGGGAATGTACTTAGTTGTGATCTTAAAACTGCTTCTTAACTTTTGAATCAGCAGAAGCCTTATGATTTGGAATTTTGGAATTTATGGAGTTGCATTATTCAGCAAACCACTGGGTTCTTTCTTACCCTTGCATATCTTTGAAGTGATGACTTTCCTCTTTTTGAGGGAAGACTAAGATATGGGATTGAGGGAGCTGATATTTGTACACCTTGCTCTCCTTCTGTAAGTTGTAGGTTTCAGAGTTCTTCGGAATATGAAACTGCTAGGGATTGAATCTAGTCGCTTTAACAGTGCTGGACATTCTGTGCTTCAGTGTACTCTACAGAGTTACCAGTATTTTCTCTTTAAATGCTCACATCTGTATAGAGCGATCATGAAGAATTTATAAAACCCATTGCATTTAATGGGAAAGTTTCATCTTCTTGGTCGCCCTCTCCAGTCGCTGCCTACATTCTTTCCTTTTTTACTTCCCCTCTCCATCCCTTCCCTTCATTCATTCTTGGGGCATCTTCCTTTGGGTCTTTCAGACGGAATTGCTGGATGCCTAATGTTTGGAACAGGACAGGCTTTTGAGTGGGACAGAGCTGGTCTGTTGCTTATTGGCTAGGGGTCTTGAGCTTAATTCTGCACTTTCTTTCCTTATCTGCAAAATGGAAACAGTCAGGGTTGCACTGTGGTAATGTAGTACTTGTGGTCATAATGGCGTGAGATTACCCCCTGAAAAGTGCCTAACACAGTGCTCAGCACTGGGGCAGGTTTGATAAATAGTAGATACAAATAACTTGAGACAAATATTATAAATGTTTATTGGGTTATATACACTATGGCAAACATTCATTCATTCATTCTGTAAGTATTTATTTGGTGCCTGCTGTGTGCCAGGCACTGCCCTGACTCAGAGACTATTGGAGTGCAGAGTAAACAAAATTCCTCTTCTCTTGGAATCTGCACTTTAAAGGCATGCTGTGGTTTTATCGTACTGTAAGCTTTATTTTTTATCATTTATATTTCCCACTAGACTTTAAGCTCCTTGTGGGCAGGGACACTGCTCTAATGCCCAGCATAATAGTAGATTCTCTGAAATTCTTTGGCAACTGAATAAGTCAGCAGGAGTCATTTATTATAGATAGGGGAGTCACATCGAGTAACTCAAAGATGGAAGAAGTTCTGGATTCTGTCTCTTTGTTTTGAGGTGGGAATGGTGTTCAGAGGAGTGAGGCCCAGCCACATTGTGGGTTTTGGAAGACTAGAGCAAGATTTAAGGGCGGATTTAGTTCATGCCTGGTTTATGGTGCCATTATTTATTATTTTTTAAACTTCAAAAGACTGTCTTGGTTACTCGGGTGAGAATCACCCTGAAACATAGAATTTTTTTTTTTTTGAAATGACATTTGGTTTCTGTTGAGTAGAATAAAGCCCTAAGTTGAAATTTAAGGTTAAAGAGAGCCTGCCTTACATGAAGAGCCCAACAAATGGATGATGAGGCTCATTGTCATTTTCCTTTCCAGCTAGCTCATTCAGCCTCCAAAAATACATTGTCTTCCTAAGTCTAAAGTATTACTTAGAAACTGATTCCAATGGTCACTGCCCAGTGGTGATTGTAAAATGGAATCGATGCTCTTGTGCAAAAACAAGTGATGTTCCAGGTGTTTGAGAATAGGTAAGAAGCTATGGCAGTGTGGGAGGAATGAGAGGATGGGCTGCAGCAAGGTTGGTTGAGTTGGGGATTGTTTGGTTTCAAAGAGTATGACTTGGGGAATGGAAGACAAAGTTTTGTCTGCAGAGCCGCGTTTTCCATTCCTAGACTGCTCAGCACACACTGTGAGCAGGCTTGGTCTGTGGTGCACAGCTTGGCTGAGTATCCTTGCTGCTGTGCAGTGCTCAGGATCCAACTGCAGCAGCCAGTGGTTCCAAGATAGATGCTGAGGACGCAGCCACCTTGAGGAACACTGGTGCTGTAGGCATTTGTGCTCAGTCCACAGCAGCCAAAGACGGTGAAGATCTCCTTGAAGGTTTCTCTGAGATACTCTCCTGCCCTTCAGCAGGCCTCCTGAAAGCCATGACCCAGTCAGGAGGACTCTAGGGAGAAGTCAGAACCAATTCCAGAATAATCATTGGATTGCTTTCTCCCCACTTCCTTGACTGTGATCTGGACCTGTCAGATCAGCATCAACACAGACTCTGCTGGATCTTTTGTTAGCGCAGCAGGGCCAGGCAGACCCAGACCTGTCCCCCAGCGAGCACTGTGCATGTTTATTAGGTCTCAGAGCGAAGTTTTTCATTAGTTTTTATGGAAGCCTATGTCTTGCCACCTGCTGTGCTGTATATATGTGAAATAACAGAATATGCTCACCGATTGATGAACAGGCTGGCAAATCTAGAGAGAATTTTCTTTGCTCTTGTCTTCTAAGCTCCTGAGGTGCAGATTTGT